TGGTTGTGAAGGTTGGACCATAAGGAAGACTGAGCATCAAAGAATTGAGACCTTTGAACTATGGTGCTGGGTAAGACTCCTGCGAGTCCCTTGGACTGCAAGGCGATCAAACCGGTCAATCCTAGAAGAGACCAACCCTGACTGCTCTTTAGAAGGCCAGATCCTGAAGATGAAACTTTGGCCACCTAATGAGAAGGAAGGACTCACTGGAGAAGAGCCTAATGCTGGGAACGATTGAGGGCAAAAAAAGAAAGGGACAACAGAGAATGAGGTGGCTGGATGGAGTCACCGAAGCAGCATGCATGAGATTAAATGGACTCCAGATGATGGTAGGGGACAGGAAGGCCTGGAGGAATGTTGTCTATGGGATCGCAATGGGTCGGACACGACTTTGCAGTTAACAACAACAAGAAGAAGAGTTTTCAACTCTAAATGGAGAGCATAGCCAGAGGAACTTTGCTCATTTTTGGCCTGTCTAACAATTGGACCCTTTTTTGAACCAGAGGCTCTGACCATAATGACTTGTGACTTCATGAGCAGACCGCTGCAATGCATTTTACGATGGGTTTCGTTTAAAAAAATGCCTCAGAAGTTCCCATTCCTCTAGAGTGCACCAGTCATTCTCTTAACTGAGGTAGCCTATTTAGGTAACATCCATGCTACAGCCACTACACAGATTGCCTAAGTACTGGTTATTAACTTCCAAACTTTACAAGATTCAGCTCCAGAACATACAGAATCTTCTTTCCTGACAAGTCTTGGCATGTCCCTTCTGCTCTTGAAAAGAGGAGCTGCCAAGGGACGTTGCCCCAAGTAAAGGCAACTAAACTAAAGCATCCATCATGCCCTTCCAAATTCTGCAATTAATTAGAGAATGAATCAGCAGGGATACAGTGCATGAAATCCAGTGTTAAGTGGCTAAATACAGCTGACAAAAGAATTAAATAATCACAGGTGATGAAAGAAATCTCTATAGACTGTGAAAACCAATCATAGCTATGAAAGTTACAAATGCCCCCCCACATAATTATGTTATGACTTTTGAAATAATTTCTAGCCGTATATGAATATTTTCATTGTTCGCTATTTTACAGAATTGGTTGTTCTCCTTTCATCGATGTGCCGTTATAATTTTATTAAATTGAGCTGGCTGTATAACTTTATTAAACCGGGTCATGAGCCATCTTAAAAGATATTCAAAACTAAAGAGATAATTTTAAAAAAGGGGGGGAGGAGGATGAAAGGCAGAATGCAAGTGAGACAGACATTAGTAGCTCAGTAGTCATTTGGTGTCATTTCTTAGCCTTTGTCAGAATAAAATCTCTTATAATGTAAAAGTCAGAATAAGCAGCTTGCCAGGCACAAGCCACCAGAGCCACTAACAATAGCACAAGCAAGCAACTTTATTGACTTCTACCTATACTACAAGAATCTGCCTTTTGCAGCTGCACAACTCAAGGCTAATTCCCTGCTTCACTCCTCTTCCAGCCTGACAGCTTCTCAACAAATCTTTTCCCCAAAGTCTTTGAATTACTACCGTATATATTCGAGTATAGGCCGACCCGAATATAAGCCGAGGCACCTAATTTTACCACAAAAAANATGAAACTCAGCCAACTGAACATTCAAAAATGCATTACAAATACCAGTGACTGGTGCTAATGGTTAATACAGTTTGCTGCCAGTGTCCTAGGTATTAACCAAGATGATGATGATGATGTTGATGATGATGATATTATTATTATTATTATTATATTCTACACTGCACAGTCACCTAGAGGTTTAGACTGAGTGTCTCATTTTTTTTCATCTGTCAAGTCCTTTCCAAGTATGTGAGATAGGCAGAGGTTGTTGATGTTGTATTAAGTGTTTCTATCCTGACCTATGAGCTAGAACCCACTCCAAATAAATAAGCACACAAATGCCTTTTTGGTAATGTAGTCATGATTTGATCTAAAATATGGCCTGAGAAACAAGACATTCTCCCGACATACCGCCTGTAAGATAATTTAACTTGAGATCTGAAACTGTGGTATTTTATCTATAAACTGGGTGGAATACTTCTGATGATCCTCCAGATGTTGCTGAATTATAACCCTCAGCATCCTTCAACTATTAAGTCATGCTGACTGAGGTTGCTGGGAGTTGTATTTGAAAAGCATCTGGAGGGCTTCAAATTTCCCATAATCCAAGTTAGTATCCACAGGAGTAACACTCTTACTCTTCCAAGGGAACAAGATGTTCTGAAAAACAGGAAGCATTCTCTTTATGTACATCAATACCAGAAATTTAGATGCTTTAAAAGGAATTAAGACATCATTTTTCTCCATAAACCTGTCTATCCACCCATCTTAACTAAATGTAGTATGTACATACAAAAGCAAATTCTCTGTATTTAAGAAATGTTGAAAGGTTGCTGGAATTCAGAGAGAGATTTTGATTAACATCTAAAAGCTGTTCTTCACTCAAAGGCTGACGAATTAACTAGAATGTTCAGGAACACCATCTTAATCAATATTCCAATAAAATTCATTCCACAAATATAAAGCTGAAAGCTTATTCCGCTGAGTATGCAAACACATGGGCAGCAATTACTGATTAACATGTACATACCATGATTTTATTATATATCTCTGCTTAAATTTTAAAAAAACCAAATAATAGTAGAATGGTAACGGTCTCCACCTAGCAAATAGCCCATTTCTCTTATGATAGCATGCCCAATGTGATAAAGCAAATGGTTGCTTATAGTTATCCTGGGTGGCTTTGAAGCAGTATTTCTATAGGAAGGAGAAATGAGAAAGGAATCTTACTCTGGAGGCCTGCTGTCAGGTCCGAGAGCCCTCTGAAGAGAAATGCGGTCACTGGCATAGGCATTAAAACAGTGCTTCTCATATCCATGTTCTTTCTCCTTTGTCTCGTCTTGTGTCCACTGGTCCTTCTTGAAAGCTTTTCCATCAGCACCAGGGCTATTGGGGTCCTGGGGAGGACGCTCCATGAAGGGCTTCAGTTCTGCTGGTGTATAATAGCCTGGCAAGCAAGACTTGCTGTCCTGCTCAAGTGCCTCTTGTTGAGCAGGTGCCCGGATCTGCAGCTTTGGCATAGAGTCACGGATATTGTTGACAGCTCCCATCATTATATCTATCATCTGGTCTTTCCTCTCCACAATATTTTTCAGCCATGGCTCCTCCTTTTGTTCCCCATTGCCAACATCTCTTTGCATTATGAAGAGGAAGATTACAAAGACAACACCCACCAAAGCTAGCTTTAGTGGGCCATAATGCCTTCGGAGTAGCCTCATCACGGCTGATGTCCAGCAATTACTCCTTCATCAAAGGTGAGCTCTTCTTAAAGCTTCAGTTGCTCTGTGGAATCTCAGCATCTTCTTCCAAACCTGAGCAACATACAAGGAGACAAATGCCAGAAAAATCAGAAGGATGATTATGAGTGCCATCAAACTCTTCCCCAACCTAAACAGAGAGTCTTCTTACTATATTTTGAAGTGTTATGTTCTATGGAAGCAGTAAAAGGAAGCCAGACCACCGAAGAACATAGTGGCTGGACGCTAGCAAAACTGACAACAGCCTGAGCATAGAAAAGCTCCAAGCAGTGAAAGATCAGATGTAGAGAGACTTGGCTTATACAATAGTTGGACACAGCCGAATGGATAACATCGTCATCATGTTCTATGGCAACGATGGCTAACCTTTTTCTAAAGGTGTGCCAAAATTGTGCATGTGCGCTATCATGCACTCATGTGTGCCGACCTACCTGCGCATGTGTGAAAGACCAACCAACCACCCTGCACATGCACAACACACACACACACACACTCATGTGCACGTGCTCTGCGGCGGGGCGGGGGGAGAGTTTTTGTCCTCCTCAGGCTCTGGAGGCTTTCCTGAAGCTTGGGGAGGGCAAAAACATTTTTCGTCCTCCCCAGGCTTCAGGAAAGCCTCCAGAGCCTGAGGAGGACAAAAACTCTCCCCCCGCCCCGCCGCAGAGCACGTGCACATGAGCGTGTGTGTGTGTGTGTG